AGAGACTTTGCTATCTGTAGTTTTTCATTATCCTACATTAACATGAAATATCATATTTCCAATTCTAAGATGCACATATTTTTACATTCCTAAAATAAAGACAAGTCATATAATTAGCGGTATCTTAGATTTAAAGAAATGTGGCAATTTTGTAATAGAAATATTAGCGTATTTAAAACAAAGAAGGATGATGATTAAAGAGACTTCAGACAATAACTTGTCTACCTACCTTAGAATTGACTCAAAGAGCTTTCAAAGATCAGTAAGAAGATGGTAACAATTAGTTTGTGGGTGTGGTCGTTTGGTGCAGGCTCAATAAAATTAAGTCAGGAAGGACAGGTTCAATAGGAATGTAGTGATTTACCATACAGACAAAATAAGAAGAGTGAGTGTTTTGAATTTAAACGACAAAAGAAAACCCTTTTCTGTGGCATTTCATTTGAGTTGGAGTAAGACATTATGAGGCAGAGTTTGTGGACTTGGCCGACAGAACAAGAGCAAGGCGGCACTGGGGGAGTGGTCTCATGACCACATTGTCTATAGAGTAGGTCCTATTTGTGAAATTATTTACTCTTGAAATACAACGACCAATCACATTTTGAACTTGTTTCTTGTCCTTGCAGGGATAAGTGTATTTTACTTACAAATTTGATTAATTTAATGTCCATAATTCTCATATAAATATAAAATAATCTTACATTGAATTAAAGGTGACTGTACCCTTTCTTCCTGCTTAATCTCTGCCATTTGTAATTCCACTCAAAATCTTTTTTTCGAATCATAATACACTTTGGATTGCACTCTTCCCTTCATTATGCCATACACAGAATTTTTTAGTAATAAATTTTCTTATCATTAGAACAGATTCTTAAAGGCATATTCACAAGTTAGTGAGAAACAGGAAATGATCATTTTCCCCAGAATATTGAGTTAGCCTTTTACTGGACTTTAAAATAATGACTAAATAGTGGCCAGGTTTAGATAATTTTTCATTTGTATCAGAATCTCTCATACAAAGGGAAATCCTGATATCTAAATGCATTACATAGTCTTGGTTTTAGTTTTATTTTTCAAAAGTATTAAATGAAGATTTTTTAAGAAATTGCCTTACCCAACAAGTTTGACGGCATGTGTCCGAAGCTTTTGATAGTTTTCTTCATTTGTGCTGGTAACATGTCTATATATCCCTGTCTTATAGTGGAAGAAATCCTCATGGACGTGCATTATGGCTAAAATGAAACCCAATACTGGCATGTGACAAATGGCATGGTATAAAAACATCATCTTTAAAAACCTCCAGAAATTCTCAGAGGATAAACAATGAATAAATAACAAGGAGTTGAATCTAATCTAATCTTACAAGGATTGTGCAGTTCAGCCTAATTTTTTTTCCTACTTAATTTAACCAGTTGCAATATTTTCTTGTTCTCTTATAAAAACAACTTTTACTATTTATAATGTTATTGAATTATATTAAGCAACATATTATTTAAGTCACTGTGTAGCCTTAATCAACAGAGGCATTATTACCAAGAATTGAGCCCACTGCAGCAAAGGCCCACCACACTTGGTCACCGATTGCTATTTCTCCCTTAACTTTGTGCTTCATCAGAAGCCTCTTAAAAGCCTAATTACGCTAGCAGAGAAGGGTGAGCCCGGCAAACCTTGCTTAAAAGCTGTCCTTAATCCTTACAAGTAAACACAAATCTATCTTTGGTGAGTTTGAATAGAAAAGCAAACCCCTGGCAACAGAATACTCTGACAAAATTTCATTGTCCCAGCTCTGGAGAGCTAAAGCAATGGTGCATGCTTCAAAAAGTAGAGCTTATACTTTAGAAAGCTCTTCCTCATTCCCTCACCTAGATTGCTTCTCTATTGTGTGCCGCTTTGTTACAGGGCTTGGGCAATTCAGGGTGAAGACTTTAAACTTCTCTTCTAGAAGACATGAATTGAAACATTTTTAATTGAGATTATGTCTGTATACCTTGAGAACTGTATACAATTCTCTTCTATCTTAGTTTGACACGCATTTTAAATAAAATAGGAATTCAGGTGGTTAACATTTAATAGATCCTTTAAAAAAGAAAAAGCTTATACTGCACAGTTAAATACAACTTTTTAAATGTTCCACTTTTTATTTGTTTGGTGTCCCATGCTTTTACTGATGTTGTTCAAATTAATCTCAAAAGAGGTTAAATCTTCTTTATCTTCTCTAAAACACAATCCCATAAGACTTTAAGAAT